GGATCATCAAGGACTCCAGTCACCCCAGCCATAAACTGTTCAGACTACTTCCATCAGGAAGGAGGTTCTGCAGCATCCGGTCCCGTACCAGCAGACTGAGAGACAGCTTCTTCCACCAGGCCATCAGACTGCTGAACACTCATAGACACCTCAGCTTCACTACTGGAACTTAACATTATGCACTCCATACTGTACAGTAATGCCACTGTTTTGCACATGTCTCAACTCTGTATATTTTTATATATTTTATTTATTGTTTACTCTATTTAATTTGTAAAATATGTGTATACACACACACACACACGTAGAAAAATATTTAGTATACACATCCAGAAATGCATATACTATTATATATTGTACATATATTTATTAGTTTCAGATGTAGCCATTCTTGTATTTTGCTTGTTTACATTATTGTATTTTGCACAACTCTGTTGCTTGTGAAGCTCGCACACAAGAATTTCACTCACATGTACTGTACCAATGTACCTGCACATGTGATGTGACAATAAAAGTGATTTGATTTGATTTGATTGATTTGGAAATTGAAAAGTCTCTTTTTATTAACTTGTTTTATAGTTTTAATCTTTTAACTTTATGCATCAAGCAAAAATTTAATTATATGCAACATTCTCTGACTTGAATAAATTAGTTTAACATTTAAACCTATTTTCTGCACATTCCAGCACATAAAATAAAATATTTTTTGTGTTTACACTCACTCTTTCAAATAGATGCAAGTAAAACACAGCAGAAAATAAATAAAGTCAAAGACTCAGCGGTCCTGTTGCTCTATTTTCACCTGTAAAGCAGGACTGGGTAGGCGGAGGTTTACCCTGGTGCAGGTGTGCCGCGGTCAGTTGAAGAATCCGCGAGTTTCTCTGTGAATTTCCCATTACGTCGTTGCGCACTCGTGCTTGCTTGGAATTTAGGGGTTTTTTTCGCTGTAAAAAGAAGTTTTCTTCCCACGCACAACGGACACTAATGTTTTTGTCACTTTTTATGGAATCAAACTCAAAGTAAGGTCAGTACTTCCACGCTTTAAACGCTGCACGCTCATACTCTCTCCCACAATCGATATGTGATCCATTGTTGATCTGCACACAGCTGTTGTCACTAACGGCGCACTCGCTTACGTCACTGTCGTGAGACATTCTCGCAAAAAAATCACGGTTTTAGTAACGCAGTAACGCAGCGTTCCTATGGGAAAGTAACGGTAATCTATACGTTTGTCACTAACGATCCTTATTGCTGAACTAGCAAATACTTAGTACGCAACGTGCGTTCAGGAACTATCTAACGTTTGCAAGTATCCTACTTCTGAAAAAAAGTAATTAGATTACAGTAACGCGTTACTGCCCATCTCTGGTGGTAACTGCAACTTTTATATGTAAGATTGTGTAATCCAATCCTTCTCACATACTCTTTCATCATTTTCTCTCCAATGGCACATATTTGAAGAAAATTATTGCTCTAATGATGCTAATCTCTTATTTCTCCCTGTGGGAGTCATTACTGCTTTATGGCATGACGTGATATCAATTTAATCACAAAGAGGAAGCCACTAGCCAAGTGAAAACTCAAGGTTTAATTTTGGATGGGTCCATCTGGAGATACAGCATGTGGGCAGTGGATGTGCTGATGCTGGACCAATAAAGGGGTGAACCCAGAGGAGTGGGAAATATGCTTACAACAAATTTTGCAATAATAAACTGTAGTTTCTTCAGTGTGAGTGAGCACCTTCAAACTTCACATCATCAAAAACTTCTAATTGGTGACCTTAAAAGTCATCTTACAGCAAAGCCATTTATTGCAACACAATGTTCCCTGGATTCTTCTCACGTGCTGTTTTTCTAAGAATCATTAGTTATAATGTCAGATGAAACTGGATACAGTAAGTTTACTGGTGAACATTTGTCTTAATAAGGATTTTGTATAAACAGTATCGTGTGTGTGTGTGTGTGTGTGTGTGTGTGTTGTGTGTGTGTGTGTGTGTGTGTGTGTGTGTGCGTGTGTGTGTGTGTGTGTTTGGGGTGAGGGAATCTGGAAGCTTAAAAGTGCCAAAATAAAAGAAATAAGTAAACTGTTAAATCATGACTTAAATGAATTAAGAATTACAATTGAATAATATCTAAATTATTATTATTATGTACATAATTAATTGATTCAATTTATCATTAATTAGTTTGATTATCAATTAATTTCATTTTAAACATATTTAAACATTTCAGTATTTAATTAATTATTCCATAGTTCCTGCAGTGCAGTGCATCATGTATTTATTGTATCTGTCAACCTCAAAGCCAGGGTGTGGGGCAAATCCGGCCAAAGCTAGAACCGTTACTTTGGTCCGTAGTAGATTCTTTCAGTTGGTCCTTCTTAGTTCCAAATACGGAGTTTGGAGTTGCATACTTGCTTGGTAAGTACACTTAGGGTTAGATGGGATGGTTGGATGGAAAAGCACAGCTTACAGTGAGACAGCAGTGTACTTGATAACAACAGTTCGTTTTAACTCTGTCCTTTACTGTCTTTTTACCCTTACGATTAATATTTACAATAAAAATAGCACAACAGTCTTAATTACCTTTGTTGTTTTAAAATACATTTGATCATAAATGCTCATAAAAGGCCCATTTATGTGATTTTTTTTAAACAATGGGCTGATTTGGGAAAGGTTGGTAAAAGCTGTATACTAGTTCCTTAAATATTGCTGATAATTCAACAGACTATTCGGCAAATCTCTCAATGTATACATAACTCTTACTTCTCAGTGACAAATAATGAATGAAAAATGAATGCAGATATAATTATCTTCTTTTTTCTCTTGTAGATGGACACAGAAACAGTATTTCATATTTTACTTACAGTTTGGGGTGTTTTCCTCCACCATTGTGATTTTTAGGTTTATAAGCATTCTGGGATACCTGTCCTAAATCCACACCACCACCAACTGACTGTGATACTGCATCTATCATTTATCTGCGAACGATTTGTCTTGACTTGCAGGATAGCTAATCAGATGTTAAGGTCTGTTGATCAGGAACCATTAAATAATAATTAATTCAATAGTAAAATAAATAAATATGTTCTAAATTATGATGAATTTATGTTTTCATTAATTAAGTTATATATTTAATTAACTGTGTGTTAATAAATTACCTGTTTATAACTTTGATTCATGACACATTTGATAAACTATCCAAAGATGTATTTGTTGGTTTCATTTTGGCACTTTTGATCCTCCATACACGAAGGATAAAGGAAATGTCAACTCTATGGAAATGTTATATATGGAAAAACAAAGAGTGGTAGAAATATTTAATTAAGTGCTAAATCCTAATAAATCTGATGGCTCTTTGATCCAGAGGTAGGCAGTATTAATTTCTGATCATAATTTATCACTAAATAAAAATAAAAAGGGTAATTTATTAAAATGACTTGACAAATCACTGACCTTGAAAAAAAAAGTGAATTACTGTAAGTTTATGTAAGTTAATTTTCTGTTTGTGTATACTGTACTCACTGCAAATGTATACCTGTATGGTTCAATAATACAATTTGTATTGTGTTAAATAACACTTAAATATATTCTTTTTTAGTAGCTGATAACTACAATATCCAAACATTCATCCGTCCGTCCATCCGTTTTTCTAACAGCTTATCAATTCAGGGTCACAGGTTGGCTGAAGACTCTTACTACAATATCCCTCTGGCTTAGTTTTAATAAGACACTAGCCACAGTCTCAAAACATAATAAATAAAACTGCATAAACTGTGCTGCACACAGTTTAGTTTCTAATTACAGCCCTCCAAATCACATAAATCATGCCTGCATCCAGTCCAGATCACTCTCAAAGGGTGGAGCTATCTGAAGAAGTTCAAGGCACAAAAGCAATCAGCAGAGCTCCACTGAGATCTGTCCATATTTAACCAGCACACACACACAAAAGCACACACACACACACACACACACACACACACACACACACACACAAAAGCAAACACACACACACACACTGGCAAAGTGTTATGCAACAAGAATTTGGTCTCCATTGCATTTAATCCCCTGTAGCAACTTAATCCTAAGGCTAAGCAAACTCTCCTCCTCAAGCCTCCCTGCTGCTCTGAGAACACAGAGGAAAGGAGGTAGTGAAAAAGATAAGAAACGGTAACAAGGAAATGCTAGAGCATGAAATGGGAAAGGTAGCAATACAGTTACCGAGGCATACCAAAATGGGTAATGAAAATGAGAATGCAGAACATCAAGTTTTTGTTTTTTCCCCCCCACAGAATGAAGCAGTGAAAATCATACTCTCAAACACACATATTTAGTCATTTCTAATCAAAGGTTAAAGGTCAGACATAACTAACTACAAAGTGAGGAAGAAAAGTGAAGAAGTTATATATAATAAATAATATCCAAGCACCGCGCTTAACAAAATAATCAGATTATTTAAAAGAAAATTTACGTAAATAAAATGTAAATTAATTTCATACTTCAAATGGAATTATTACATTTAGAAGGAGTTATAGTTACTTTATAGATTTCTGCATTAAAATATAATTAGTTACTTCAGATTAAGTTATCCAGCATATGAAGCTGTGAAGGCAGCAACAGGCTGGAACACTAAAATGCTCCTTAGTGATGTGAACACATCAGCCATATGTAAAAATGCAGTAATATAATAAATATCACAAACAGAACTGTTTGAATGAGTGCTTGGAACTTTTTAGTAGAAAGTGCAACATAATCTTTTTCCAGGCCATCAGTGTTACCTGGACAATTTAAAAAATACAAGTAAGGCTTCAGTGTAAACATAAACACCACCCCAACATTCTATAGTTGTTCCTCTGGACATTATTTAGTTTTTCTTAGCACTGAATCTCTTATGAGTATACTAATCTCTAAATGACTGTTTTAAAATGGAAAGGCTTTATTTAATTCACAAATGTCTCTAGGAAAAGTTCACAGCGGTGTTGCCTTGATGATAGGGTCCTACCTGACATTGTCATGACGCTGGATATAGATTTTGTGAAAGATCCTTTCTGGGGGCTTCAGGAAATCCTCCTTCATCTCCATAGCTACATTCCTGGGCAACAGACTCATTAGCAGGCGCTCCTGAGAATATGAGAGTGTGTGTGTGTGTGTGTGTGTGTGTGTGTGTGTGTGTGTGTGTGTGTGTGTGTGTGTGTGTGTGTGTGTGTGTGTGTGTACATTTGTGTGTGAGAAACAGAGCAAGAGAGGGGAAAGAAGATAAAGTAAGTCACTTATACAGTAGAAAGCGGCAAAGTTATCATAGGGCAAACTGTTGGCGGTGATAAGAAATGCGCTAGACAAAAAGGCATGAAATCTAACAGAAATGAATAATGTGGCAAAATGACTTGAGGCATGGGGCGGTGGGGGTAGACATCCAATTTTACACATAGTTTGTGCAGCAAAAAAGGTGTCTATACCTGTTTTTCGTTCTCATCCTCCATGCGGAGTCTTTCTTCGATGCAGTTGCGAGCCTGCAGGAAGGCCTTCCTCTGGGCTCGTTCTGTTAGGATGCGTACAAACAGCCCTGACAGGTTGACACTGGTGAACAGTACTGTGTTGGCAACCAACTGCAAAAACACACACACATTACACACTATTACTTCTCTGGTACATTGTTGAAGACAAAATATTTAAGAAACCATTAGGAAATATTTATATCACTTTAGTTAGATCAAATATTTATACGTGTGTTGTTATGATCAATGAAAAATGTATTTTCATGTATATTTCCATATATTGAATGTATGGTAAATAATCTAATGTAAAATATGTTTTGTCATTTGGCATCTTTGTGCATTTGTTTGTGTGCATTGATGCACAATGCAGCACAGGAAGTAATTTATTTCAATTTCTTACTTTATTTAAAAGGGGCAAGCACAGAACTATAACACTAAGCTGCATGAACAGATGTGTATATAGTCAACGCTAATGGTTAAAGAAAACCATATCATAATGCTTAAAATCAAAGCTGAATAACAATAAATAAAAACAAGCAGCCTATACACTACACTGATTAAAGTATCCATGGCATTCATATAACTACATGTATACATGTGAATGTTTGCCAGGTTTTGTTACCCCTGCTTTCAAGGACCTGAAACTGGAGTTTCACTACCCTAAACGGGCTGAATGGCAGTTTAAGGGTGTTATACCAGTTAATTCATTTACCTGGATATTTTTCAAATATATAATTTTTTATTCAATATTTTCTATGAGAAAATCTGTGACATCTCTTATAATAAACACACAGCAGCATGACTGTTTATAATAATTCCTATTGCTTGGTTGAGGCTGGCTGAGTTACTTGACACAGTTCTGCGATTGCCTATGATGTGTAGACTAACAAGCAGTCACTGCAGGTAATAAATACACAATATATTGATGAAAATAAATATGTTAACTCATATCCTCATTCACCTTTAGTATTTTCTGTTGTAGAACTTAGTGATGGAGCTTATTTGACTTTAAGAAATGTTACCCCAAAACACCTTATACTTTATTAAAATATAGCTTATATGTTTAACTAAGCATCATGAAAACACTGTCATATTTTGAAATGATGTATCCACTTCTTGTAAAATTTTAAGAAACTTTTACTGCCACAGACAGGCACGTTTCCCAGAGCGACGAATAACGGATTGCCTTGAGAACGCTGTTTTTGGCAGCAGAAGTCTGGCTTTGTGCTTGGCAGCACTGTTGGCAAGGATCAGCATGTTCAAACGATGCTCAAGTAACTTTATAGCCCGGAGTGAATAAATGTGGACATCAGAGTTAATTGGTGTAAAATACTCTTGAGCTTCTCTGTTGTGTTAAACGCAGTGTGCTCATTACTGACCTTACTGCACTAGCAACAAAATCTTTCATTCTCGGCTGTTGTACCCATTCACTGGCAGTAATGAAGATCTTCAAACTTTTACGATGCAGTAAAAAAATAAAAGGAGTACATTAACTTTTATTCGGCGACATGATTAATTCCAAGGTGTCTCATTATGATGTATACAGGTATTCACTGAATACAATACAAGGTTTTTATTTGCAATGCTTTTTCCTCCCCTTTTCTTTAGTTTTTTTTTTTTTTTTTTTGCTGTTGTACTTCATATTAATAGTAGTAGCAATACGTTAATAAGTAAAAATGTCAATGATTGCTGAGTTTATTTACAATTATATTTTTGTCATTTCTTTCAATGGGGTCTAATAAAGTACCTATTTTTAGTTTTATTGTTTTTGTAATCTAAGCTTTATCTAGACAGGTAAGGCTATAAACCCATACCCCATTTAACATTTTATGGTATTTAAACTACCAACAATGAATAAATTATGCTACTAAAAGGACCTGATGCATGATGAGACCAAAGAGGCCCTACAATAACGTGCATTTGAAATTATAGTCAACACTTGCTTTAGTAATAAGGTATTTCATGTAGAAGTAGACACAACCATAGGCTGAGTGCTTGGGACCTAGGTGGGTGGTTGTTGCAAGCCTGGACTGTGCAGGGTCATGCCACACAGCTCATCTCTAAGCTTAATGGATTAGCTATCTCCGGTAGTACAGCTAGCAGTGTCCTTCACATGGCTATGCAGGTACCGCATAGCCTACATACAGGAAAACAAAGCTCTGTAAATAGGCTGTCATCATTTGGGAGCACGATGAAACGACAGAATCCCAGTTTCACTTCCAAGAAATGCCCAATATTTGTGTCATATGTTGCACGTAGGCAGACATGTTCCATTATACCCCTGGTAGGTTTTGACTGATGTGACATATCTTCTTTTCCCACAGCTGATGACAGCCAGGAATGTGAGCATATGTGTCTGACTGTGACAGGAAAAGGTACAAAAGCTATACATTTCCAGAGAGCGGTGTACCAATTTCTATTCCGGCTCTGCAATGACATGCATGACTTTGCCCTATTTCTTAACGGAAGCATATGTAGAGTAGTCAAAGTGGTCTTCCTCTGTGTGTGGGTGGGTGTGTGTTTATGTGTGTGTGTGCTTGTCCCTCCACTTTGCCCTACTTCTGGTGCTTGGAGGATGTCACTCTAGTTCTTCATTCCTGACCTGCTCAACATTTTTTGTCTTATGAGAGCAAACATGCTCTAACTTGTCTTGATCGTGTTATTGTTTTGCCGGATTTGATTAAAACCTAAGCAAAGCCCATCAAGTCTTACCACATGGAGCTATCCTTGGTGCTGAACTGACATCTAAATTGCTTCTCTCTACCTGAGCTTCATATCCTAATACGGGCTACTCCAGCAGTGTGTAGCTCATACGAATAGATTATTATATTCACACGCATAATAATATAAGCTCCAAGGTTACCAAGTATTAGAGGCACCATAATCATGTGCAACATGTACTTACTGTTCTCCATAGTTTTTGTGTTTTCACTGTGACGGAAGTGGCAGTCACAATCAAATGGGAGATGGACACCATTATTCCAAACACAACAGCCAAAAGCGTCCGTACAGGTAGCAGCGCATAGGCGACGAAGGTGACCAGGATGAGCTGCCACATGCCTTGCTCCGGGGACGTCGGGGGCTCTAGCCCCATGGCGCCCAGGGAGAAGGGACAGCAAAGGAAGGAGAAAGTAAACCCGAAGAGCAGCGTCAGGTTAACAATCTGTTGGAGCTGAGTCACTTGCAGGTACTTGACATTAGTTACAATAAACAGGGACACGAAGATGACACAGTGGACCGGATGGGACCCCTTGGAGATGGTGATGCTGGGGCCGGACAGCAACTCCACCACAGCCAGCGTCGAGGACAAGAATATGAGCACGGCCAGGGCTTTGAGAGTGGACGTCTGCTCCAGTTTCAGGTTGTAGTTCTGGAAGAGAGACTCGAGTTCTTTGCAGTCGAACTCGTCCTCGCATACGATGGTGGTCAAAGGGACACCCGGTGGACAGTGACTTCTCTTCCGCCTGGTTTTGACTTTCTGAAACGGTATTTCCTCCATGTCAGTGCCATTCATAAACTGAATACCTGCTCACAGCTTAGCTTAAACAGAACAGCGGATCCCGCGCCGACACAGACCCCGGGATGCAAACGTAAAAAGACGCGCACAACAGACTCAAGGCAGAGCGTCCCAGATAGCGGAGGAGACTGGCCGGTGGCCACAGACGCGCTCGGCACTATCCACAGGTTGGACTGTGCTGTCCGGAAAGATTAGCTGGCAAGCAAATCTTCATTTTCCAGCAGTGTTCCGGGCGATGTGCCATATACATGTAGCCTACTAAAAAATAATTACTATAATAAGAATTCAGCGTTCGCTTGAGCACCACTGAAGAGCACGTCGTCTACTTGTGACGGTAACAGCTTTTTTTTCTTTTCTTTTTTTTTTTTTTTTTTTGCGGGGCTCAGATAGGATCACGCCTGCGCATTATGAGGTGAAGATAAGACAGGTCTCAGCTACTCAACACACGCAGTCAAGACGATTTGACTAGCGCGGCTACAGAGCTCCCCTTCAGCCTGACAGAACAGCACATGCATCATCCTTAACAGCAACGTCTCCTTTTTCCACCTGCACACGACGTGTTTCCATCGTTAAAGCCCGTGCAGTGACTTTTACTATGCTCTGATTCATTTACGCGCTGCCTTCCTCTGCCTAATTCCCTCACACACAAGCACAGAAGATGAGAGAAAGAAGCGCAATTAATAGCGCTACCGCACGTCGCCGTGTTCGAGACACGACTATACTCTCATAAACTGGGAGCTACTGCGTTTGGTTGGCACAGACACAGAGTAACATGATTGCATAGCATTCATAATAAGACTCCTGTATTGCCATGAGGCAGCCACCCTCACAATCAGCACTCTTTTGGCATTCAGGGGGGTGGTGTCTCATTCATTACCAGGAGAAGATTAGTCATCCGTCACAGGCTGCCATTGCCATGACCCGTCGGTACCAGAGAGGATGTAAGAAAGTGACAGATTGATGGCCAGTGCCAAAGTCCAGCACTCTACCATGCTACCAGGACACTCACATGCCTTCTGTTCCACCTCCCTAGCTCTCACTATGTGTGTGTGTGTGTCTCTCTCTCTCTCTCTCTCTCAGCTGTTAGTGTTCTAGCTTTCACTGATCCAGCACAGCTATATACAGTGTGACAGGTAGATGGAGAGAGTGAAAGGGATGGGGCAAAAATAGAAACAGAGCAGTAAAGTATTTCGCAGCCTACTAAATTCTGAGACAAAAAGGGAAACAATGTTCTATAAAAGACTTGTGCTACCAGCAACATGGAAGTAGACAATTTGTGGCAAACAGATGAGGTGTTGGAGCTGATATGTTTGGTCATTAGTTAAAAAAACATAATTGGAATCACTAGCTCAAGCTTCTGAAATCCAAAAAGGTTTGGAAAATGTCACCTGGAAATTGATGATATAGAATATTCAGGTTTAACCAGGTTTTGTTGATTACCGAGTCAAACTTGACACAGACTAAAACTGAACTAGGCTAAACTTTAGCTAAAGAGAAATCTTAAACAAGCCTGCTTGCTGTCACACTAAATGAACAAACAGCTGTCTGCATAACAATAGAGTTCACCTTTCCCTCTTGGGGACCTGCCAGGCTCACGTCTGTGTTATCTGTCCCTGCTGCTCTGAGAGGAAGATATGGGACACCAGATGTAGGACACATTGCTTTTACACTGATAATCTGTCTTATCTACAAGGCTTTTACTCCCTTTTTACTGAGCTTTTATTAGCTCCCACATATAAAAAAAAAAACATTCACATTGCTGTGTGTCGGCTGTCAGCTTCAGTCTCTCGCACAGGTGATCTGCAAATGAGAGAAAACAGTGGCATCATTTACAGTCTCCTGACTAGAGTGTAATTAAAGTGGCACCGATTTTATGTCATTGCCTTAATCAATTTTTCAATATTCCTTATGTGGCATCTCCTAAATTAATCACAATAGCGAGGGCTGCAGTTTTTCAGTGTTGCATGGCATAGCCACAGTCTTTTGAGGCGAATGCCAAACTGTGCGCTCAACAAAAGACCAAAATCAGCAACATCCGTGCTGTTTGCGTAGCTGCATGTGCAGGTTTCCAAATATTTATTTTGTCTGACACAGATTTGTACGGATCTCTTTGCATCTCATTGAAGGATTGCAGTATTCCAAGAGGACCTCCTGTCCTGTTTGCAGCCAAGTATATTGAAGGATGAGAGCAGAGCCATCATGCGGTTTAAATGTGTTATTCTCTCTGCTTTTGATGGCTTCAGGTTTAAGTGCACGGTCACACTCTGCCAGCTCTCATCTTCTGAGAACAAAAAAAGGTCTTTTGGGAGTTCACGCCGCAAAGTTGCACTCCAAGGGTATTGGACAGACGCCAGCTTCCTGCTGCTTCTCTTCCAAATATCTTCTATTTTTCCTCTTTAACGCCATCATCACATAAGCCCCCTCCCCCACCCCCTAAAAACAGCTTGTCATCTGAAACGATGTGAAACAGCATTATATTGTTATATATTTGACATATTTATGCTGCAAAATTGTTATTTAACAGGATGATGACTCATCAGCTTCATATCTCTGGAGCAGTTAAACGCTTGTCTGCCACACGTCAGTTGTATAGCTTCCTTTCAAAATGGGTTTTGTCAATGTCTCCGATTAGGCTTCTGCTTTTAGGCAGGTGTTTTCAGAATGTACAAATAAAATGCTCACACACCACTAGGGGGAAAGAAAGAATAATAACAATAGTAAGAATAACAAAAGTCCATCTCAGTGCTTGTTTGCACATGCTGATATCAAGAGATCATCTTCCATGATAGCTAAGCATCTGGCAAATCCCACCAGTGTTCACATGCGGTTGACGTATTGGTGGTCTTGTAATAACAGACACATTGGTTCAACACCAGCAAATGAAACAGCTAAAAGACACCCAAGAGGGACAAGCAGTGCATGTCATGAATTAGCTAATGTTAGCCATAATTAAAATGTGCCAAGACAAAAGAAATGCAGGTGTTCTCACAGTTGCCACTCAGATGTGTATTCCCCTCAGATAAACACCCACAATCTTGGAAGGACAAGAATAATATGGCATATACAAAATAGATGAAGTGAGAATATAAGATTTCTGTGAATGGTATTTTGTTTCATTGCTTTCAACACACGGTGATCAATCTGTTTCTTTTCCTTTACTTATGAAATAAATTACACAGCATAAATCAAATATGGCCACGAGTCAGCTAGCTTTCACATAAACTTAAAAGAAATGAGTGCAATTCCAGCCCTGAGCAGGAACCTGCAGAACTCCATTTGTCAGGGCTGAAAACACAATACACACATAATTACCAAATCAAAACTGGACTTGAGGAAAAAGTCCACAAGCGTATCCTTCATCAGAAGGATCCACATTAGAATGATTTGTCCCCTCTCAAAAAAAGTGTTTACAGTCACAGATGATAAATGCTGAAGCTACAGTACTCTGTCTGTCTTGAGTCACCCCTCATTTCTTTATATTGTGCTTGGAAAATGGGAAATAGCTGCAGAGAATTATTGAAACATAGAAATATAAATGGAAATGTAGCATATAAGGCAACATTTGTAGTATTGACACTGAAAAACAATATTTCCTATGATTGCTTTTGTTCTTTAACACAGTCTGAACTCTGTTAGTGCAGATTTATTGTAATTTCTTTAACTAATCTTCAGGAATAGTTTTCCAGGCTTCCTCAAAGATGTTTAAAGCTCTTCTCTGGATGATGATCTGTTGTTCCGTTCTCTGTCGAGATGATCCCACATTGTTTCAATAAAATTGTCCAGGCTCTGTAAAGGCGTGATGACTGACTGACTGATAGTGTTCTACTGTGTGTTCTCTGTCAACGTATGCTTTTACTGCATTGGCAATGTGTTTGTCGTGTTGAAAAATGAAGCTGCTGCCAATCACATGATGTTACATGGTGGATCATAATCGGAAGGTACTTTCTTTTTTTTTTTACACAATCCACTACATAAACCGAGACTCTATGATTCACATCAGTTAACTGGTTTTGACTCTATCTGAATTTTGTTAAGATGGGGATTATTTGTCATAGTCTCTCTTCACGATTGTAAGCTCGTTAATCTGGCACAGTTTCTCTGTAGTCACCTCGATCTGTATTTCAATTTCTGCTGAGCAGCACCTCCTAAATTAATCTAAAAGATGAGCACTGCTGATGTTCAGAGCCAAATAAGGCACAGTGCATTTAAACAAAATAAAAAATCAGCAACATTTGATTTCTATTCATGGAGCTGCATGTGCTGGTTTGGATATATATCTTTTCGTGCTTATACAATTATACTTTCTTTAGATCTGATTGAAGGCGTGCAGTATTCCAGGAGGACTTCTTGGCCTGTTTGTGCCAGGTATATTGTAGGATGAGAGCAGAGCCATCGTGCGGTATAAATGTGTTATTCTCTCTGCTTTTGATTGCTTCGGGTGTAAGTGCACAGTCACATTCTGCTAGCCCTCATCTTCTGAGAACAAAGAGGTCTTTTGGGAGTTCGTGCCACAAGGCTGTACTGCAAGGGCATCAGATATGGAGACAGTAGTCAGCTTCCTGCTGTATGTCTCTTTACTAAAAATCCTTTTATTTCCACTGCCTGCCTTTCTGTTTCAGGCTCTTACTCATTCATCACACACACACAAACCTCAGACTGCAAGACATGAAACAGCTGAGTATCAGAAATGATATAAAACAGCTGACATATTTACATTGCAAAATTGTTATCTGAATAACAGTTTGATGACTAGGCAACTTGAGCTCTTTGGAGCAATTAAAATCTTTTCCACCACATGTCAGTTGTTTTACTTCTTTCTAGAAAGCTCATCTATAGAATACATGAACCTTAGCAGGCTGAATTTATACAGACACTTTGATCCACGCCTCATATTTGGCTTCTCTTGTAAATTGAATGGTGAGAAATGTCACTCTGGCTCTGTCTCTCTCGCTCACTCTCTCAAGAAAAGCTGCAAAAAGATTTCCACAGCCTTTAATTCTCCAGCCAGCTGGGTTTTCAGAATCTGCTGGTTTGGGCCAGAATGGAGACAAGAGGATAGAAAAGATGAATTAAAAACTCTACAAGAAAAATATGCAAGCTACAAAATGAAAGGGACGGAATGAGATTTCTCTGCATGATATTTCTTACTATAACAATCACACTAATTCAGCACCAGCAGGTGAAATAGCCAAGAGAAAGTCAAAAGGAAAAGGTAATGCATGTTGTCAATTAGCAAATGTCAGCCATAATTAAAATGTGCTAAGAAAAAAACAAACAAAAAAACAGCAGGTTTTTCTGTCATTCAGATGCGTGCCTACATCAGAGAAACTGCTACATCTTGGGAGGACTTCTCTGTGTGGTATTTTGTTTCATTGCTTTTGGTCACAGATGTATTTCTTCTCCTTTTTTCGTGAAATAAAATACAATGAATAAATCAAATTTAACCACAACTTAGCTAGCTTTCACATATCCTGAAAAGAAATGTGTCCAAACGTGACCTCCGGCAGCAACAGAACATACTAATAATTACCAAATCAAAACTGGCCTTGGGGGTGAAAAATCCACAAACCTATCCGTCATTCAACACATTTCAAAACACGCTGCAAGAGATAAATGCAGAAGCAATATAAATGCTTTGAACATGATTCATTTCTTGATGTACTTGCCATCACACAGACAGCAATACCACTGTTTTTGACTGTATCCTAATAATAAAAAATGAAACGGCCATTTAATACTGTTTTGCTTTAAAATAGCAATTTATTTGCAGTCATTGTTTAGAAAACTAAATAATTGTGCAAAATATTTAAGGCCTAGAGACGAGCCTGCAACCATCTAACGACTGCCGGTCACGTGTGAAATCTGTGTATTCTACAATACACACATTGATCATTTTAATTACTTACCTGTATTGCCTAATCACATCTCTGTTGTGTGCTCATGCACCTTGTAGAACAGAGTTTAGTGTGGAAGAAATACCAAAAAGGTGGAACTGAAAAGCTAAGTGAGAAAAAGAAACTAAAAATAGATGCAGCAAAATGTGTCAAATTAACTGGCATGTTAGCTGTCGGGCTGCTGCTGCTTCACCGTCAACAACAGCACCAGCAGCAACTAATAACCAGCCCTAACAGTCACAGGAGGCTGCTGCTGCTAGCAACAGCTGTGGAGAAGTGCAGAAGGAGGGACAGCAGTCCCAACAAAGGGTGAAGAAGAGACGGAGGAAGAAGAAATTAACATGGTAAGAAAATAGATGGAGAGATTCAAGGATTCAGATAAAATGCA